AGCTCGGAAGGAAAAGAATAAGGACAACAAGAAAGATCTTATTACACAGGCAACACTGCTGTATACAATGGCGGATAAAATTATTATGTATGATCAGGTAAAATAAGTCAGATTTCTTTGAACTTATGAAAGAAAAAAAATACCACATGAAAGCAAAATGTGTGTAATAGACAACAGATTTTTAAAAATTTTTTCTTAGAATAATATGGTTGATAAAAATAGCCAAAAGGAAGAGTAGTTCCTTATTAAAATAGAAATTTCTTTGGTCCTTTAAGGAATGTGAACTTTTCTTTTTGTTACTTGTTCCTGATACAGAAGACTTGCATTTCAGGATAATTTCTCAGTTTTCTGGTTAAGAATTGCTTATTGGTAGATTTGACACATTACAGTGGTAGAGGAATTTGTGTGATGCTCCACCTCCTTTCTCTGTGGTTTTCATTTTTGTGTTACACACTCCTGTTAAATTGTGTTCAGTCCATGGTGAAATCAAGTCTGAGATGATACATTACTTTTTCAGAACCACTTGTTGGGAAGAGCCTGCTTCTGCCTACTTGAAGGGGACAAAATGGATCAGGCTGATGCACAGTTTCACTTTGTACTTAACCAGTCTCCAAATAATATTCCAGCTCTTCTTGGTAAGTCATTTTCAACAACCATCTTAGGAATCTGTATTTCTCAGCATGTGCCTAGAATATATCTCTTTGTTACTATCTCCTTAGTAACTGGGCTGGGCCGCAAAGTAGAAGAGCTTTGCCTTGTTAAAAATAAGACTGTTGCAATAGATCATTGTTTCTGTTGAAATTACAGAAATAAGATATATACCAGTTAAGCATAATTTGTTATCCACTTCTAAAGAGTTAATAAGCAGTCTATTTGGACAACTCTAAGCTACTTTGATTATTGTTTTATAACATTTAACATAAAGATAGTACTGTTCTATTTATAGGCATAAATTAAAATACCCTAATGGAAAAACAAGTTTTAATATGAAATCACTTTTGCTCTTTTCAAGTATTTCTTACTGAGAGATATATATGATTTAAGTGAGTTAGTGCAGAACATATGAGATTTGTGTTCTTTAATAAATGTATGTTTATTTTTAAAAATCGTTATAGGTAAAGCTTGCATTTCATTCAACAAGAAGGATTACAGAGGAGCTCTTGCTTACTATAAGAAAGCCTTGCGTACTAACCCAGGATGTCCAGGTAAGGGATAAACTTTTAAGTCTAAGCTGTGTATGCTCCAACTTAAAATACTGCTGTTTGATTCAAAAGCTGAATAGTAGATCATAATATAATCTTTTTGCCCTATACTATTTTTTCTTTCCAAAATCTCATTTATTTAGCCAATTTTTGAAATCAAATGTAAAATGTTTCCAGCAGGAGAGGGTAGCAGACTGTGTCAAATTCTGTTGTTAGGCCACGTGAAATAGGGAATGAGAATTGATCATTGGATTTGACCGCATGCAAATCATTAGTGACCTTGATAAAGGGAGTTTTCCTGGAATGCTTGAGGAGAGATACTCATTGGAGTGGAGTCAAGTGAAAAGGGAAGGAAAGGAATTGGAGGCAGCAAGTGTAGATAGATCTCTCAAGGAGTTTTGCTATCTAGGGAAGAGTAGGAATGAATTGACAACTAGAAAGGGAGGTAGAATCGATTTTTTTACAATGGGAAAATGTATATGGATGAGAATGATCTAGAAAGGAGGGAAAATTTGATGATGCAGAAAAAGTAGGGGAGGGTTGCAGGAGCAGTGTCCTTGGATGAGAATGAGTAGGATCTAGTGAATAGTGGAGAGGTTGGCCTTAGGAACATGGCTGTGTTTTGGCAGGGCCTTGAAACTGGGAAGCATTTATAAGCATAGCTCTGCAGATGCACATGTGGTCAGTCACTATATTTCAGGCCTTAATGAAGCTTTTTGTTCTCTGTTTAAAAACTGCTCTTCAAAAATTAGATTTTTAAGGTACAATGCAGCCAGGAGTGTTGGAAGACAAGAAAAATAGCACTATTATAGACATTCTGTGCTATGAGGAGGGGGTGAGGCTGGCGGGCTGTGGGGAGAGTGTATGATCTGACCTCCAGGGAAACCAAGTTTGTGATACAGCAGAAGATTTTATAGTGGAGCTAGATAGAGGTTAATTTTGGGATTTTGCAACTCATAAATAGAGAATGTTTAAACATTTTTAAAAATTTGAAGCCTAAAAATATCCTAGTATAACAGACTGAATGACTTGACTTTATTTTTTTAGCGGAAGTTCGTTTAGGAATGGGCCATTGCTTTGTGAAACTTAACAAATTGGAGAAGGCGCGTCTGGCATTCAGCAGAGCCCTGGAACTCAATCCCAAATGTGTAGGGGCATTGGTGGGACTGGCTGTTCTGGAACTCAACAATAAAGAGGTATGTGAGTGAAGAAACTAGTTCCTGGCTGATTTGTCAGGTGACTAGGATGTGAATTTCATCTCAACAAAGCTGTTAAACACAATCTTTTCGGGGTTTTGCCCCTATTATTTGCCTTAGGGATTAGCAGTAAATTATTTAGAACAATAATATCAAGTATATTTATTACATGCACCCAATTTCTAAGGGCAGGAAATGCTTTCCAGTGGAGATGCCTTTGCAGTTAAGTTTAAGAAAGCTAAATTCTTTAGAGTTTCGCTCACTATTTGAAATTTTTTTATCCCTGGTGAAAATTAACTAAAACAAGAGCTATATTTTGGTTTCTGCACTTACATTTGTATAACCTTATTTCTTTAGACTGTAAAGGAAACTTTGCAAAAGTGCTATTTAAGTAATGTTCCACTCAACCCTGCCATCACTGTTTTTCTTCTAGGCTGACTCCATCAAGAATGGCGTCCAGCTTCTTTCCAGGGCCTATACTATTGACCCCAGCAACCCTATGGTCTTGAACCACTTGGCGAACCACTTTTTCTTCAAAAAGGTAGGCAAGGCCATTTATGAAAGTTGTTTGACTTTAAATCTTTATTTTGGGTTTTTTTGTACTGCAGTTGATACGTTATCGTTCTAACTTGGAAAGAAATTTAAGTCAAGAATTTTTTTTCAAGTTAGAGTTTGTAAGGAGAAGGGTAGAGCTCAAGTGGTAGAGCGCATGCTTAGCATACATGCGGTCCTGGGTTCAATCCCCAGTACCTCCTCTAAACATAAACAAACAAACAAACTAATCACCTCCCCCCCCCAAAAAAGACAAAAGTTGGAGTTTGTATTAGTGTCTGGAGATGGATATGTTTGTTTGTTTGTTCATACATTTGTTTAATAATTACTGACCCTTTGTACTGTACCCAACATTGCAATGTGGTTGTGGAGTTCGTGGTATCTTTACTCGAGGAGTTCAGTTTCTTGAAAACAGAGACATGTAAACAAATGAAAATGTGAAAATAAAGGTCTCTACCCTGCTGTGGTAAAGAAATGAAAGATGGAGTGACTAAGTTGAGAGTTTTCACTTCCAAGAAAGAAAAGCTCTTGAACTAGGTTTTTAGAGAAAGGTCGCAAGGTAGTTGAAAGAAGAGAAGCATAGATCTATGAAACAGTCTCAGTTTACTAAGAGCATAGCATATGGGGAGATGTTTGCTTGTTTATTTTTGCATGTTGATCATGACATTTTTAAAGTTGTCATTCATTCTGTAGAAGCAGTGGCATTCTGGATTTCTTAAATACTAACTCCAAGATGTCATTGGCAAAGTGTTTATATAGTAAGCATGAGTTTAATCTGTCATACTGAAACCAGGTAATAAATTATACTAAGAACTCTAATTAAATAGTAGTTTAACTAAAAGTTCACAAAACAGCATCAATCTTTATTAATAATAGATGCTATGTTGCTGCCATTGTTGCTATTAATATGCATTCTGCGCTTACTAAATGCCAAGTACTATTAAAAGTGCGTTCCATGAATTTATATATTGTTCAAAACAATCCTATGTGGTAGGTAATATTTTCCTCATTTTGTGGATGAATAATGGAGGCAGAGTAAATTGCCTGAGGTCATACAGCTATAACCACGATGCTGTGCTCTCTAGCTATGGAAGCATACTCCCCTTTCATAATGAATTATTTATTACACTTTAAGCTGTACCTGCTATGTACTAAAAGGCAACTATTTGGGGAGAAGATGGAAATGTATCTTATAAGTAGCTGAAGTGTTACTATTTAAGATAAAATAAGTTACACAAGTTAGTTTGGTTTTTACTGGGGTTGGGGGGAAACCCAAAGGACTGATGATTTTAAATATCTGAGTGCCTACCTAGTATTCGGTGCTCACAGCTTTTGGGACAGCTTCCTAGAACCAAATGAGAATTATTCAGTTTTTAATTTTCAATTCTAGTCACCCTTCCACTGCTGAAGATAAGACTTGCTTCTAGTTAACACAATCAGTATATTCAGAACCTTAGATTACATAAGTGAAATATATAAATCAAGCCAATCTAATCAAGTGTTAACTGAATACCTGATCTGTGATCATGAGGTCATCTTGCCCTGAATGTATGTCTTTAAGTTTTACAGAGCACGTTTACAAACATTTTCTCAGTTGGTCATTACAATAGCCCTAGAAGGTAGGCAGGATATTTCCATATCCTCATCCCAGTGAACAATGTATAAATTTAGCTAAAAGTCTGTATAATGTAAATAAAAGTGTGGAGTTTAAATCACTTGGTTCAAATTCAGGCATCACCATTATATAGTTCTGTGGCTTTGGACAAATAAACTAATTTCCCCAAACTTTAGTTGCATCACTTATAAACTAATAATAATACCTACTTTATAGGATTTGAGGGGTGGTAGTTAGGATTAAATATGAATATTAAATACTTATCTAATGGGAAACCCTCAGTTACTGTTAAAAACTGCAGTCCCATTATTATTTCTAATGTAAGAAAAAATGTCAAAACTGGTCATTGACAAAATAAAAACTCTACTTCAGACCGAATTTCTAGTGAAATGAATAAAACACATTCCTATTAAAACTGGGAAGTTGTCTAAGGTGGATCAGTGATGAAAACAGCCAAATCTGAGCATCAAAAGACCTTCTAGTCTACCTGATACACGATTTCTGTAGTTCCATGAAGCAAAAGTATAAAATATTAAAAATAACAGAAGATTATGTCTGGGGTAGTGGGGTGTGTGTGTGTGTAAAGGTGACAGTGGATAACAGAGGACTTGTTGATGGGTGAGTGAGAACTGGCTCGGGGTGTGTGCGTGTGAAAGGCTTACCAGTTTTGAGCAATGATGAAAAGGTTTTACTACTGACCTTTTAACTATGAAGGTTTCTACACTTGATTGGAGCTCAGAATTTAAAAAATTTTTTTAATTTAAAACATATTTCTTAAAAACTCGGAAGTGGTTTCTACCTCTGTTGTTTGAACTCTGACTTTGAGTCTCTCAGATTAATCCAAATGAAAGTCGGGTGTAATAGAAAGATCATGACCCATGCATTCACATAGAGCTGAATGCAAGTCCAAGCCGCTGGCACTTGCTACCCTCATGTGATAGAACATATCCTTGGAGTCAGAAAAAAAGCTAAATTAAGATTCTAGCTTTTCACCTCAGATAGCAAACTTCTCTAAGCCTCTATTTCCCCATTAATAAAATGGTAATAATGACATAATTCGCAGGAGTTTTGATTAAGCTTAGAACTAACGTGAGTATCATACTTAGCAGAGTGCTTCGCATATAATAGTCCTTAATAAATTGTAACTGCTCACATTACTGTTAATAAGGGACTTTACCTCTCTTGGGTTTTCTTATCACAAAAATAGGCTAATACCTCAAAGGATTGTTGTGGGGGTTAAATGAAGTAATAAATGTACTGAGCAAATGTTAAGTGCTATGCAAATGTTAGTTCTCCACTTCCCTGGATTTATCAGCAAGGGGAATGAGGAAAATGATTTGTAATTCTGGGTCCAGTGCTGTTGTTGCTAATTCAGTTAACAAATTTTAAAAATGAAATTTGGGGAAGCCTTATGATTGAGACAGTTAGCGTTGTTTGAGTTCAGTCGATTGAACTCAAACAACTGGGTCTTGGTTGTGCAGGATTACAGTAAAGTCCAGCACCTGGCTCTCCACGCATTCCACAACACAGAAGTGGAGGCTATGCAAGCAGAAAGTTGCTACCAGTTGGCTAGATCATTCCACGTCCAGGTAAGTGAATTTTATGCCCTCTCTAAATATCTGATTTTTTAGTGATTTTTCAAATCTTTTAAAAACTTTTGTACATATTGTCAGTCTTGTTTTATTTTCACTTTTTAGGAAGATTATGACCAAGCTTTCCAGTACTACTATCAAGCCACACAGTTTGCCTCCTCGTCTTTTGTGCTGCCATTTTTTGGCTTGGGACAAATGTACATTTATCGAGGTGACAAAGAAAATGCATCTCAGTGCTTTGAGAAAGTTTTGAAAGCTTATCCTAATAATTACGAAACTATGAAAATTCTTGGCTCTCTCTATGCTGCCTCAGAAGATCAAGAGAAGCGAGATATCGCCAAGGTATGTTTTTTTAAAAATCTTAGTTATTTTCTGTTAGCTCTCCCTAGACCCTCCTTCCTCATTTCTTGTTATTGCTGCTAGAAATATGGTGGACAGAGTTTTGTTAGCTGAGTTTTTCCAGTTGAAATAACAAACAATTGACTTTTTATAGCCTATACTTGGAATGTTTCAGCTTAATGATCTCTTTTATCCCAGGGCCATTTGAAGAAGGTCACAGAACAATATCCTGATGATGTTGAAGCTTGGATTGAATTGGCACAAATCTTAGAACAGACTGATATCCAGGTATTTAGCAATATTTTTCATCTCCCACCTAATGTGCTTTGGTAAGCCTGGTATAATGTTTCTCTCTTATTTTCACTTACAACTTATTCTGTCTGCCATGAAAACACAGGGTGCCCTGTCAGCCTATGGAACAGCAACACGGATCCTTCAGGAGAAAGTGCAGGCTGATGTCCCCCCAGAGATTTTGAATAACGTGGGTGCCCTTCATTTCAGACTTGGAAATCTAGGAGAAGCAAAGGTAGCAATATAGAAATAGTCCCTTCTTTTATGCTGTCAGATTCAATGTACACTATTTTAGATGTATGACCAAGTCTTTTAACAATGTAATTTCTTTTTTTTCTCCTAGAAATACTTTTTGGCATCACTGGATCGTGCAAAGGCAGAAGCTGAGCATGATGAACATTATTACAATGCCATTTCTGTTACAACGTCATACAATTTAGCCAGGCTGTATGAGGCCATGTGTGAATTCCATGAAGCAGAAAAACTATATAAAAACATCTTACGGGAACATCCTAATTATGTTGACTGTAAGAATTTTAAACTTTTTTTTTTTAATGTGTTGAAATGCCCATAACAGCAGCAAAAATTTAACCTGAAAAAAAATTTTTTTCTTAGAACCAAGAGTAAAAAATTTTGAAGGTTATAATGTACACTTTTTATCAAGGCAAATTTGTGGCTTTAAGAAAAAAAATACAGCTTCACCTAAATTTATGCTAGAAACGAAAAGAAACAACTAAAAACCAGTTGGACTGTATTTGATAGACTAGGCTATCTTCAGTGGATCAGCTACCTTTATTTTTAACAACTCCTCCTTTATGATGCTTTGATTTCACATAAACATTTTGCAGCATTTATAATAATTATATAGTGAGGACTATGTTTTCCCTTGAAATAATTATTACTAAAAATGTCTCACCTTGAGTTTTTACAACCTAGGCATTGTGAAGTTTGGAAAATTTTTAGTTAAAAATAATTTATATGCTATACTTCCCTTGAAAGAACCTAAGCTATGATGTTTTGACTCAGGTCGAATCAGGAGCTGTTAACTTGGCCCCTGTCATACTGTTATGGATACAAAAGTGATTTAAAATAAATAAGATTTTAGTTGAATGCCAGGCTGAATTTGAATTGACTTGATAGGCAGTAGTAAGCCATTGTTGGTTTCTTGAGGAGAGTAACATTTTCTGGAGAAAACAACGTACATTTGTGTGGCACTTTTTTATTGTCATTATTTAAGTGGGAAGAGCTAACCGGTAATCCCTAGTAGATCAGCTTTCAGTATTTCAGTGCCGTGTGCCAAAAGCAGCTCTTTGAGAAAAAGTAAGTGCCAGTGCTGCTGTGCATCAGAGGGGAATTGGAAACAGCAGGGCGAGGATTTTAAAATAAGCTAGCTTGAGTTGAGGACTTGGTCCAGGGTGCTAGCCTTGGGAACGGAGTAGAAGAGATAAATCTCAGATCTCAAACAGTAAGACTTGATGGTGACAGAGTTGCTGTTTAACTTACTAGAATATTTATTAGCTATATTGATGCTTGATATTTTTTCACCTGTGGGACTTTTCATTGTATGAACGTATTAATGACAAACAGTTGTTTCAAAGATATGACTTTAAAATTATGATCCTATTTATAGAAAATATTTTAAACATACAAAGTTGTGTATTTTTAGGCTATCTGCGTCTAGGAGCCATGGCTAGAGATAAAGGAAACTTTTATGAGGCTTCAGATTGGTTTAAGGAAGCTCTTCAGATTAATCAGGTTGGTAATATTAACTCTTGGGTTTAAAAAATAATTATTTCACCACTTTCCCTCAGTAAATCAGTTTTTCCTTTTAATGGCTATCTTATTTCTAGGCTTGGCATCTCCATATTTTCTTCATTTACTCATTATCTTTAAAACTGAAGAATATAGAAGTCATCTAAACTTTTGGATTGTGGCCCACAGTAAGAAATAGATTTCTCATCGCAGCCTAATACACACATGTGTGTACAAACAACTGAACTCAAAGTTTCACAGGTCATTATGTGCTCTTGCCACAGGCAGTACATTGATATTTTTATTGTATTCCATTCTGTTGCATTTCTTATGCTGATAACTACACACTAAACTGATTTTACAAGTCACTAATTCATCTCAGTTCTGTTTGAAAAACACTGCTGTAAATGTACCTTGTAAACCTCTGCAGTCATCAGCTGTTGTGGAAAGATAATTGATCTCCCTGAATGCTTCTTTTCATATGTGCGTTTCAGGACCATCCTGATGCTTGGTCTTTGATCGGTAATCTTCATTTGGCAAAACAAGAATGGGGTCCAGGCCAGAAGAAATTCGAGAGGATATTAAAACAGCCAGCTACACAGAGTGACACTTACTCTATGCTGGCCCTTGGCAATGTCTGGCTGCAAACTTTGCATCAGCCCACCCGAGACAGAGAAAAGGTGATTTCTTTTTATCTCTTTAAAACAAAATTGATACTTGTTTGATTCTCGTTCGAATTGTTTCTAATAATGTTTGCATCTTTTTATAGGAAAAGCGTCATCAAGATCGTGCTCTGGCCATCTATAAGCAAGTACTCAGAAATGATGCAAAGAATCTGTATGCTGCTAATGGCATAGGTAATTAGAAGATTTGGATAGCCAAAATCATCTGTGAAATGAATGCTTTTGGAGGACTATAGATCAGAATTTCTAAATGTAGTAAAGGTAGTTTTAAAACAGGACTTTTCATTGTTTTTCTGACTACAGTTAGAAAATTCTTAACTGTGAATTTTTCTATAAATTCAGGAGCTGTGTTGGCCCACAAAGGTTATTTCCGTGAAGCTCGTGATGTATTTGCCCAAGTAAGAGAAGCAACAGCAGATATCAGTGATGTGTGGTTGAACCTAGCACACATCTACGTGGAACAAAAACAATATATCAGCGCCGTTCAGATGGTAATGTCTTAGTTTTCAAGATATTTTTACACTGTGTTCATTGTTAGAGCGCTTGTTTTCTTAACCAGTCTGGCCCTGTCTTGGAGCTGCATGCTGCCTCTTGTGGTACTGTTACCTGTTCAGAGGCTTATAATTATGTAAGGTTAAGGCCAGTCTTTGGTGTCCAGACAGAGATATGAGTCCTGGTTCCACTGTTAATTACATGCCTTAGGCAAAGGGCATCCTCTCTGAGCCAGTTTTCCTATCTGCAAAATAGAAATAATTGTACCTTAATCCCATAGAATTTTGTGAGGTTCCAGAATGATGGTATTGGCACCATTGTTGGCACTAATTTGCCTGGCATATCAGTAAGTACCCAAAAGGTAGT